CAGCCACGTCTTGGACGATCCACACACCCCACATACACAATCGCTCATCGGGCATTACTCTAGCAGCAATGTATAGTATACCTAACTTATCCCATCTCGGCCCCCGCACGAGCACCACCACCGCGCATCTGTTAGAGTTCATCTGTAGGCTTGACGTTATACTTGTACCCTAGCACATCGCACGTCTATTGTCCAATCATCATTTCTCGTTGACCACGTACATAGCAATGAGTTCGAGAGATACTGCAACCTGCTTGCACGCCCGCGGCCCGGCACTGTACTAGTACTCACCATAGCTTACGCATCATCTGTATCATCCGTATCGTAATTGAGCTGCCTGCGCGAGTTCGTTGTCAAGCGTGTCAAGTCGTACTGCCAACTTTCCGCCGCTTCTCCGCAGCGGAGAATACAGTGAGTTGGCTTCAGGTCTGATGCAGAAGATCACCATTCGGTCCGAAGAAGAGGAAGTTGATGTCTTCACTCCCCTAGCCCCTAGCGTGCGGTCCTGCGGAAATAGGAGACAGCAACGTGCGTGATCTGGCCGAGGGGAGGCCCAAGAATCCAGGGGTCTCCGCAAGCTATCCAGAGGAGGGAGCTCCGTAACGGTGAGGGTAGCTTCTTCTTGAGATCGCTATTGCAACGGGAACGGCCCACGCATCCGGCAACTCCACTACCTTGCGATAGGTCGACGGTCTCATTGGCCCAACGCGGAGGGGTTTTTGGTGTCACCACGCGCAGCGCCTGCGTTTTCATTCGAAGGGGGTAACAGTATGCTACAAGACGTAATAACAGAACTTATGCGCTCCAGAGCACTTCGGACGCGCAAGATAAGTAAGAGGAGTAGCAAGTCCATCGCACTAGGTATGACTACTATGACTACCAACTAGCTAAGTATGCGTGTCCACGGTATCCGCAGCGATATGTGCAACTACTCTACTCAGCCCCTCTTCACTGCAGGCGGTTGATGGGGAAGCGGCTGCGGCGAACAGCCGCGGACCCGGTCGCGGCGGGGTCGAGGACGGAGAGGGACTCGAGGCCATCTGTCGCGCTCGCAGAGGAACCGCTCTGGCCGCTGGCATCGGTGGCGGTCGCCGCCGCCGAGTCTGTGGCAGCTGCAGAGTCGATTGCGGTAGCGGTAGCAGCGCTCGAGTCAGTCGCGGTCGCAGCGGACGAGTCAGTGGCCGTGGCTGCGCTCGAGTCCGTCGCAGTTGCGGCCGACGAATCGGTAGCGGTCGCAGCGGACGAATCGGTAGCGGTTGCGGCCGACGAGTCGGTGGCAGTCGCAGCGGACGAGTCGGTGGCAGTCGCAGCGGACGAGTCGGTGGCAGTCGCAGCGGACGAGTCGGTGGCAGTCGCAGCGGACGAGTCGGTAGCAGTCGCAGCGGAAGAGTCGGTAGCTGCGCCCGAGGCCGCACCAGCGGTGACAGTGACCGTGACGGTGGCCGCACAGTCAGTCGCAGAGGCGTTCGAGCCTGAGCCCTTGTTGCCCTTGCTGCCCTTGTGACCCTTACCGCCCTTCGAGCCCTTCGAGCCGGAGCCCGTTGAGTCAGTAGCGGTGGCCGCGGAAGAGTCAGTGGCAGTTACAGCGGAGGAGTCGGTGGCCGTCGCGGCGCTGCTGTCTGTCGCGGTGGCCCCGTTGCCGGTACCGTCGGTGGCACCACTACCACTAACATCCGTCGCAGTGCTACCGCTGGCATCCGTTGCAGTGGCACCGCTGCCGCTAGCATCTGTTGCAGTAGCACCACTTCCACTGGCATCCGTCGCGGTCGCAGCGGAGGTGTCGGTGGCCGTCGCAGCGCCAGTAGCAGCAGCGCTATCCGACGCCGCGCCCGAACCAGACGAGCCCGACGAACCAGACGACCCGGAGGACCCGGAGCCGTCGACACCGCCATCGACGCCAGCAGCGGACATGCGCGCCGCGGCATCGTCTGCGGAATCGCAGGTGAGGCTCGTGCCTGCCTTATTGACGAGCGGGAGGGCGAAGCACTGAGTGCCCCCGGAGCACGGGGTCACCTGGAACTTGCCGCCGGAGCACTGGGCAAAGCCGCCGGACACGCAGGCTTGGTCGCCGTCTGTTGTGAGGAAAGGTAGCGGTCAGCATCGTGTATGGAGGGTAAATGAAGGGCTGATGAGGATGGGCGGTAAGGGTAGCAGAGAGCTACTAGGGCAAAGGAAGAATGAGGAGGGTAGAGACGCGTACCATTGCACGACGAGTCCGCGGTGAGGGTCGCGAACTTTGCGTTCAGCTTCTGCGCGTCGAGCGCATTCTGCTTCTGGAAATCAGCAGGCGCAGCCTGGGAGAGCGCCGCGAGGGCGAGGAAGACGAGGGCAGAGAGCTTGGTCGAGAACATCGTGAACTTGGGCAAGTGCGGACGGGGAACGTCAAACAACGACGGACGGGGAACGTCAAACAACGACGGACGATGGACGAGTACTGGAACTGGTGGAAGAGCGAAGAGGACGTCTGTGGTAGCACACGAACGAATACGCAGGCGTGAAGCGGGAAGGCGACAGGGACAGTGGGGAGGAGCACCGGGCTCTGGGGGGCGTGAACAGAAAGGTGTTCTGACCCTCAGCAGGGAGGGGGAGGGCCGCAATATATAGAGTCGCTCCTTCTGCGCTCCATCGCGTGTCATCCGGGGTGCATTCCGTGCTTTGCGAATTCGCGCTTCCGTAACGCTTTCCGTTTGGGGGACAACAACAAAGGCGGCGTGAGTGCATCTGGGGGAGACGCCGCGACAAAGGGCGTTGCCAGACGTTGCTGCCCCCGTTGTCGAGGGACAGGCATCGCCGTTGGAGCAGGTGGAGCGGACATACCACAGACGCGCGTGCGGGTGCGGGCAAGCGTTCGCGTGCGCTCGTATATTGCTGTTCTGCGCCTCGCGTTTGTGTGTTATTCTTGCTTCATGCGGTGTGGGCTTGTGGTGCGTAACTAGAACCCCGATTGTTACTGTGAGCATCCGTGATGAATGATGTTGGTTTCTCAATGGCGTTCGACGCACCTCCACTGCTGCATGCTGCTGCGGAGATGCGCCTTCATCACACGGTGTGATAGTCCTCCCGAAGCTATATGTACTTAGCGGCTGTCGATCGAATTCCAACTTTGCACATCTCCATGCGCTATTGACTTCTATATGCGCGGATACAGTACTTGTACGGAGGCTGTTCGCTCGTTTGTGTAGTGGGCTGACCGGCCTTTGCGATCAAGAAGTAGTCTATGTATAACCTTGTGCCTGTGGCTCGAGGATTGCTGTTCGAGCAGACCCTGATGATCGACCTGGGCCCACTGAAATAACCGCGGCGGTACGACCCTAGAGTTGAACTCAAACTCACAATACAGCGCAACGCGGTGTGGGCTCGACAGACTTCCCGTGACAGCCCGGATGCGCTTGCACAGTAAGTCAGGATGCCATGCCTGCATGAACGTGTCGCCCATGTCAACGTGAGGCTGCTGGTGAAGGAAGACAGATCAACTACGCATTCTCATGTGCTGCTTGCAGATCGTTGGTACACACCGGGGTCACGAGTAGACTGCATCAATGAGGCTGGAAGAAGCCTTCGCACGGGATCGATTCGGATGCATAGCAACCCACGGGTCGGAGGCAGGGCCTGTTCACCAGAGGGCTGTGGTGAGCCACGAACACGGGCCTCTGATCGCAGGGATGCTAGAAGGCACATATCACATCCTCACATCTGGACCTTGATGATGGGCATGACTTATGCTCTCCTGTGAGATCATGGTCATCTCAATATCACCAACTCAGTGTCTAAGGGGCACCAGTCAGCGTTTGCCCAACCAGATTGATGTCAAGTCGACCGACCATAGAACACCGGCTATGCGATGAGATGTTTCACTCAGCCAGCGCATACACCCGGAATATGTCTTCCGCGGCACAAAAAGACGAACGAGAGAGACAACTGTTCGTCATTGCAGCCAACTCGGTACCTACAGAGCTCGTCAGTCACCGATGCGTGAACCAATCTGAGCACAAGATTACTGACCATCATCGTACAACACCACGAATACATCGCGAGGTAAACGAGGAAGCTCAAGAGTACGGCCCGGCAACCAGCCAGAGGCCGCCCCTCAACATGGCCGACAAGAGTGACAGACATGACTTGCCAATGCCTTGCCCGCGGGCGCAGCATGAGAAGGCGGAGGAGAGGTAAGCTGGGAAACTCACAGTGCAACGCGGACGTCACGATGCGCGAACAGTCTCCTGAGGCAGCGAATGAAAGCGAGTGAATGCGATTCCGTCTCCGTACACAAGCACTCCCATCTATGTCTACCACATTCCACCTCCGCAAGGACTCGACGCTTAGTGAGCGTGGTTCTTGTGGTGCTCTACAGGGTGAACAGGGATCAGCGACATGGCACGACACGCATGACGAAAGAACTCACTGAGGTGCACTGAACATCCCCACCCGCAACAAACGCGCCCCGCTCGTCAGCACCCGCATACACCCAGGAACAACAGCACAACGACGCACTCTGGTAGTCAATGGTGTACCCAAGACCGAAGATGGCGAGGATCGTGAAGAGGACGGGCGCCGCCGACGCGTTCTTGCCGTTGAAGAACCGCCCCTTGATGCCGCCCGCTGCCGTCGAGGGCGCAGGGCCCTTGGGGAGCTTGGAGTAGAAGTTCACGAGGGGTCCAAGGCCCGCGCCCGTGCCCGACGACTGCCATGTCCGGTCGTGGGGGGTCAGATAAAATGCTGGCGCGCTGGCAGACGCAGCGGGCGAACTGGGGACTCACGAGGATGGACGGGGTGGCGATTTTCGGGGGGACGAGGCCACCAAGCTGACGGCGGATGAGAGTTGGCTGCATGTTGGACGCGACCCGGCGTACGAGACAAGAGGTAGGACTGACGGTGAACTCGGAGGAGGTGCACTCTCTTGCTCTTCCCTCCTCGTCCGAACCGCCCGATATCCCGCACGTGTCCCGCTTTTACCCGATGTGCTTGTATGGGTATATTGACAACTTTCTGTCCCCAAAATATGCCCCGTGGCTGAGTTGGTTACAGCGTCCGACTGTTATGTCCTCCCTTGAGGTCTGTCATCGGAAGGTCGTGAGTTCGAGCCTCACCGGGGCAGTGTGTAAATGTGCCCTATATTGTTTTTTGACCAAGTAGTAGCTATATGCCAGCGAACTGCGTTTGTGTCACCCACTTTCGCTGCAGAGGCAAGCAACAAGAAAGCAATACATAGAGGTCAGGAACCTTATGACAAAGACCTGAGCACAAGCAGGGTATGTTCGTATGCCACGACTGTAAAGAACGTGGCGACAACCAACTTGTCCCTACTTCCTACGTATCGACGGGAACATAAGGCTCGGCCACGGACTGGATGGAGACGGCATCTATGCTGCCGATGAAGATCACCGCCGTGACCCGCCGTGTACTTTACACTCTTTCCGATGCTCCGGCCAATGTGCGCGCTGGCATGTAGAGTTACAATACCTGCATATCATAGTTCAGCTCGAGCGCACACAATGATGAAGTTTGGGGCCACATACCAAGCTTGCTTGCACCCTCTGCACCGTTTGATTAAGGCCGTCGTGTCCCCACACCAGGTGCACTGGAGCAGCGCTACCAGCCCAGGACCGAGCTGCACGCGCCCGTTCGACTCGCTCGCACGGCAGCAACACCGTAACGGTCCATGCAATAGAGCATGGATGCTCGTCGCTGCGGCATTTCCCCACCACACTGTACTATCCGAGTTTCCAGGCTCCATTTGACCTTCCCCTGGATTATCACCCTCAGTGTTCTCAAGGACGCGGTCGGACTTTTGCGGGTACTTGATAGATGCGCGGATCATATGGTCTTGTTCGTGGAAATTGGTGAGGAAGTCGCCCCATTTCTCGAGGCCTCGGGGATAGTGCTGGACGAACAGCCTATTCCCCGCTCGTATGGGATTATCGCCGACCTCAATACCGAGCTCCTTGAGAGCGGCCAAGGAGCGGTCGAGGACGCGCAGGATGGGCTGCAGATTGAACGTGCCGTCAGCGCAACCTTCCATATGAACGACAGGCTAGAGAAGCAGAAGGTACCTGAATCGATGCAAGGTCTTCACCGAGCGACGGTCCACGCAGGATAAGCGTCATGCACATGCAGAGGTCCGCGACATGCGGCAAGTCCTGCGAGTCCTTCGGAGCCTCCTTTATGAACTGATGCGCGTAGTCGAGACCGACCCGGAGCCAGCCCCTGCCAACCCGCAACCGCTGCAGCTCAGTCGCATTCGCTCCAAGCAAGATCGCACATCCCTTCTGATAGGAGAGGTCCAGCCCACGGAGCAGAAGTCGTCTCTTCAGATGTGGAGTAAGGTCCTGCAGTTCCAGCCCTGCGAGGACAGTCTGCAACGCCCATTCGAGGTGTGAGGCATTCTCACTAAGGACGACGTGGGCATACGCATGCGCCGGCTCCCAGTGCAGGATCTGATGAGCGTGTTCGGCCACGATGTCCGAGTCCGACGGGTTGGATAGCACACCGCGCTCCAGGATCAGCACGTCTCCCTTGTCCCGATACCGGCAGTCCTTCTTCATCACCACCATGACGGCCTCCTGCAGCAGCGTGTCCCAACTATCGGTGTGTGCAAGCTTCTCGTTTCCGGCGAGACCTTCAAGCTGGATGTCGTCGTAGATAAGTCGACCTTGCATCACGAGGTCAGCCAACTTCACTCCGAATTGCCAGACGTCGCCCTCTGCGACCAGGTCCTGCACTAACGTCAGCATCTCCCGCGTGCACCGTCTAGACTCTGCGATCTCACCCCCTGGAGGCAATCTGTCATCCGCAATCGTGTGAAGAGGGAACTGTGTGGCCGTCGAGTCTGGCTCGGTGGATACGTCCGGGCAAAGGCGACCGAACGCCCAGATGGCGACGCAGCGGAGGCCGATATTCCGGCTCTTGATCAACATAGTTAGGAACTCGAGGACGGGTGTCACGGGCTTGAGTCCGGTCGTCGTGCAGGACAGCGCGCAGCTGATGAGAAGCGGGAAGGCATGCACCATAGATGCGTGTGGGACGTGGGGTTTGGGGAAGTGTTCCAGAATGTGTGTCGCGAGAACGGTCGCAGGCAGAGCTGTGTTGAACACTGTGTTCGGTATCGCTGGAGGGGTATCGGAAAACGTGACAGCGTCCAGGCAGTGGTACAGCGCCATGATGATGAAGGTGGACGTCATGTGCGAGTCCGAACGCCACGTCTGGTTCTGATATGGGCGGACGAACATGCTTGAGATTGTGCGCAGAATCTCGACCTTCACCGTCTTGTCGCCGTGGTGCGCCAGGAGTGTGAAGAGCTGAGTCCACAACGAGCTACACACATCGGTGTTGACAAGGGGCAGAGTTCGCTCTAGTATACCTGCTCGTGACACACACGTCCTCCTCAGCACTGCACGAATCAAACTTTGGCCAATTCACTTACCCCGCTGGAGTAACCCCCGCGCCAAGGCTGCATCTGCACAAATTGCGACCCAGACACGCACGACAGCACCCGCCATGAACCAGTCGTCGTGCTCGAGCTCGTGAGTGTTGTCAGCGATCATATTCAACCTCTCCGCGATGTCTGATAGGCGACGATGGACCTTTCTCAGACCCTTCCGGCATTGGAGCCCTGGCAAGGCAAGTATGAGCAGAGTCCATGCATCAAACCATTCAGTTAATTACTGCTCACGGCAAAGTGAAAGGGAGTGACATATTGCATTGAACAGCTGATCCGAGTCGATGCCTGTCGTCGTGGAGCGGGCGTGAGCACATCCGTCATGGGCATGAGCACTGGCAGTAGAACAGTAGTTGTCTGAAGGAGGCATTTTGGTTCGTGAGCTGAGGGGACAGCGGAAACGGAACCTGGAACGAGTTGCGGTGGACTTTGAAACATAATAGGGCTGCTCAATTCTTCGAGCTCAGTTCACTTTGCGCTCAGCTCACTTGAGAGCACCCTTAGCCGAGGCTAGCCGGGTGATCGGTGGCAATGGTTCTGCAGACGGCGCTTAGTGCGAGAGAGTGAGCAGCGTTCTTCCAAGCTCATTGCAAGGAGCTGTCCTTGACCAATCCTCTTGATACTTCTATGGCGCAACGAAAATTCGGTCTGCTTGCTGTCGATACCCCACAAGTCCCTATTCGATGGCAGGAAGGCGGCGGGACAAGGTTTGTCGAGGGACAGGACCAACAGGCGCTGAATCACCCCGTTGACCGGCTAGTATCGGCTAAGGGTGCTCTCAAGTGAGCTGAGCGCAAAGTGAACTGAGCTCGAAGAATTGAGCAGCCCTAATGCCGATATAACACCCGTCGCCGCTACCGCAGCTTCCCGAGAGCGAGACGGAACAGGGCTTGATTTCAATTTCTGACTCCTGTGCTTCTTTCTTGACTGAAGGCCCGCACGGAGACGTAGAACGTATAGCCGGTGACATACCTGACAGCGAGCGCACGGTGTGTTCGATCTTCGAGGGATTCGTGGCATAACTAAATTGGGGAAAGACCCTTGCGTCATGCTCAAGATATGCATACTGTACCAACCACGGATATTCGTACAAGTCCTTCGATAGTCGAGTTCACATAGGAGATCGGTGTGAGAAACCCGGCGCTTGACTGAGATCTTGACGAAGTCGAGGTCGAAGTCGAGCGGTCGGGAAACACGAGAGTCGTTCAGACACGAGCGAGTGAGTAGGGAAAGTCGTCGTATCAAGAAGACTGGGGACTCGTCCCCGAAACTACAGGCTCTATATACATGTGGAAACATAGCAAACCGAATCTAGTACAGAACATCATAGAACCTGAGGGAATATACAGTACAAAGAGAGAAAGAGAGAAAGAGAAACAAAGACGATAGTCTAGGTGAAGACAAGTGAAAAGATCTACGTCATCTCGAGCCTCGAGACTACGAGATCGGAATCTGGGCGGTAGTGCCAGATATGGCTATCTTGACGCCGGCACCCTTACATTCGCCCTCTAGGGCTTGCGTAAGTAAGTCCTACTCGCCGGCTCAAACTAGCCACTCACGGGTCATCATCGAAGCTGAGGAAGCCTTCCTCCTCCTCCTCCAGCTGATCCACCTCCATGTCCTGCGACGAGCCTTGAACGAACTCCGCAGGCTGCGGTTCTCCCGGTTCCGCAGCATAGTCTAGAGGTAGTCCGTAGTCACGGAAGGTTGTCGTCAGGAACTCAAGAAAGGTACGTTCAGAGTTGGGACTAAGACACTCACGAGGAGGCTCTTCGGCGGTCTGATCACGCCCCAGCCCTCCACGAGCCCGCTTATCGTGCCCGCGTCCGCCGCGACGTCCCCGCTTCCGGGATCCAGCCTTGCCAGACCCCTCGGCCTTGGGGTTCACGCGATCCGCGAGAGGTCTCGCGCGATCGCGGCGCCGGTAGCTTCATCCTCGGTAAGTAGTCCTGTCCGGGCGGGCCCCACCGCCTCTCGCCCGCTGCAAGTCGACCTGGAGCTGACCAACCGTCTTGATCAGGTCGAACGCCTGCGTCTGCGCGTTCATGTTCATCGTCAGAAGAAGCCCGAACGCGTCCGAAGTCATGGTGACTCCGGGCCCCATAGCAGGAACCTGCGGCTGGCCAGTAGCCCTCGCGAGGAGGTCAGGATAGTCGCTCGGAACCGGAGCGAACTTTTCCTTGACCTTGAAGACCTCGACATACCCGGGCGGCGGGTTGCCAGGATAAGGACCGCACCCGTTCGCCCATGCAAGACACGCCCGGGCATAACGCTCCCACTTCACAGCGTCGTCGGCGTTGTACTTGTGAGACATATCAGGAGAATGAGAGGTAAGTCGAGTCTGACGATGCGAGTGATTCGTCGGAAGAGCGTGCTGCTGCTGATCCATACGCTCCTCAGACAACGTGTATATATCCTCCCTCGCCCTGCAAGCTCTCCGCTTGTGACGCCTGCGTCGACGCGTACGCGTCCCTGTGCCACTGGTGGCAACGCCAATTGCAATACTGGGTGGCACAAGCATCATGCCGACTTTCATTTCCGGGAGCTCATGTTCAGATAAGTGATCGCGATTATCTTTCCGCTCCTGCAACTGACGAATCCCTGAGATCCCAAGAGCCTCATAATATTCCGTCAACGCCTGCAAGTGCTTAATGTCCTGG